TTCCAGCACATTCTGCCCAGAGGGCAAGAAGGGCCCAAGATCTAATGCATTACTCATTCTTCAATGCCCCAGTGGGGTGACCTTTAGAGAAGTCCTCCATTTCACTCGGCCTCTTCTCTGGCTTAGAGCTGCAAGACATGGAGAAGAAAATATGTGCCCCCAGACAGCCCCCAAATGCTTTAACTGCTGCCTAAATAAGACTGGTTCTTAGCATTCTTAGAAACAGAACACAGTTATCTAAAATAGATGAGGGCTGGCTGTTTAGCTCAGTTGGTTAGAGCTTGACGTTACAACACCAAGGTCAAGGGTTCGGATCTCTACACTGGCCAGTCACCAAAAAATAAAATAAAATAGATGGCCTTCATAAAAATATGGCATGGAAGCTCTTTTCACACTGCTAAGAAATATTAAGTGAAAAAAAGCAAGGTTCCAAGTAGCATGTACATAGTGCACTATTGTTTGTGCAAAAAGGGGAGAGGGTGCACAGAATATTCATAATTAATTTGTTTATAGATGTATAAAATATTTTAGAGGTTCATGGAGCACTTCCAGCAGATGAAGAAATCAGTAAAACTGGTTGCCTCTAAGAAGTGGTGGTTAGGGGTGGACAAAGATATATTTACTACGGGCCGGCCCGGTGGCGCACTGCTATAGTGTGCCACTTGGGAAGCGCGACGGCGCTCCCGCCGAGGGTTCAGATCCCACATACAGACCGGTTCCCGCTCACTGGCTGAGCGAGGCGCGGGAGCAACACCGAGGGCTGCGATCCCATTGCCGGTCCCGGTCCGGTACGGGGGCGACACTGAGAGTTGCGATCTGTTGCCGGACACGGAAAAAGACAAAAAAAAAAAAAGATATATTTACTACTATCTAACCTTTGTGCCTTTCAAATATTTTCTTTCATCGTGCGAATGTATTACCAATTTTAAAAAAACAAACTTTGAATGAAAAACATTACATTTAAAAAAATTTAAATAAAAACAATTTAAAAACAAAACAGTCTTTATGCAACACACCAAACATACTTACTAATCTGGTCAACTGTGTTCCCAGCACACACCAGATGCCGGATTTGTTGAACTTAATTGAACCTCCACTTAAAGACAACAAAAGGAAATCAGAAACCAGGCAAACCCAACGGTATCAATGTTCCAGTTCTCTAATAAGCTCTTTACCTGTCTGCAAAATATCAGAGAAGGGGTCCGTGTGTAACAAGCCCTTCACCCAACTGGGCCCAGCACACAAGCTTCCTGGGTAATAGTAGGGCTCATTATGTGTCTATACCAGCCATTTTATAAAAAGAAAATGTTTAATCCAAAAAAACATGATGCCCTGGAACCGAGACAACAAAAATAAATCTACAGATATGAAAATGATCCTTAAGGGAGATAATGTCAGCACCTATATGGTTATCAAGTTAGAAGTAACAGCATACGGGCTAAAAATGTCCTTAGGCATATTCTGGCCATATTTAGTCATACAAAAAGGATGGACCATGAAAAGCTGCCAGACCGTGTGAAGAGGCACCCTGAACTTTCCAGTGCTCTCTTCCTGGGGATAGCTTAGCCCAATAAGAAACAGGAAGGCTTAAAACACCTTGTGTCCCTGGCCATCTACTCTCTTAAATTGGTCAAGGAGTATTCAAAACTCACAATGCAGTAAAAATTGGAATATCATAAGCAGTAGGTCATGGTAGAAATTCTGCCACATGGAATTCCATTATATTGAAAGTATCTCTCTGCCAGGGCTTTTTAAAGAGCCATATTTTAGGTAAGACAGACTCTGCCCATCTTCTACAGGACCAAAGAAATTGTTTGTGCTCTGGGCAGGAGCTCTGGGCAAGGGCAGTGGGAGCCACTATAGTGTATGTGGACCCTGCCAGAGATTACCAGGAGAAGGTGTAAATGAAGCAAGGAATAACAGCAAATATGAAACCCCTCCACCAAGACGTTATGAGAAAAGAGAGCAAGATAGAGAGAAAGAGGCCCATTTTCATACACAAGCAAAGCAACAAAAACTATTTTATTCTAAAATGGCTGAGCTCTAGAATAGCCTAAACAAAAAACCAAAACTCAGAATCAACTCTCAAGAAAAATAAGGCAAAAGAAGGTACCAAACAATAAATAGCGATAAGCTTTGGCTCCATCTAGAAAACAGACAAAAACAGAGAGGGGAAAACCAAAGGTGACTGGAATCCTCCAAAAAATAAAAGTGACAAGCATCTTTCCATTAAAAGGGAATTGGCTGGCAACCTGAGAGTGGCTATTTGTTAAAACTGTGAAGATAGGGGCTGGCCAGTTACTCAGGTTAGAGGGCTATGTTGGTAACATCAAGGTCAAGGGTTCAGATCCCCATACCGGCCAGCCTCCAAAAAACAAACAAAAAACCCAAAACTGTGAAGGTGATAAAGGAAATGAAGGTGAGAGTAAAAAGGGAAGAAAAGGAACTTCCTGGACTAAAAGGAGAGGAAAAAGGCCGTTCCATCGCACTTGCCGTCTGGTTTATTTCAAGCTCTGGAAACGTACAGGAAAAACACAGATAAACCTGTGAACAAGCTAGATTACCAGCAAGAATCAGTCACACACTTCTGTTTCTGCCAGGCCAGGCAGGTGCTGCTGGTGCTCCCCCTACTCGAATGACTAAGTAACTTGCTTAAATGCATTTGACACATGATCCCTGGACTTCCGAAAAGCACTTAATACAGTGGCTCATGAAATCTTAATCTAAAAATGTTCATCCATTTTATAATCAAGCTGCATCACAGTGACCACTGGTAAGGAGAGAATGAATATTTAGAAGGATACAGTGGAGATGGGTATCATCAGGGACTCTGTTTACTACTTTGAGGAATTCCCCTCTCCCCCTTTTTAAAGAGAATTAAAAAAAATTTGGAATCCAAAAAGTGTAATTACAAGGGGGGAACTAACAGAGAAACTGAGTTACTTAATTCAATAAAAGACAAAAAAATAGATAAGAAATAAAATGCAATGTGACTTGGAACTCTCCACAGATACCTGAGCTAAAATAAAATCTAGAATATGTTAAATTGGTGGGGGGGGGGGCAAGGGAAAAATTAGCTCCTGATAGAAAATAATGAGTGGTAGATATTAAGACAAACTGTATTAAAAAGCAAGAGAAAGCAAAACTGTATTAAAAGGCAAGAGAACATCATATTTAGCAAATCTATAGTGGTTATCATGTGCCAAGCACTGTTCTAAATAATTCAGATATAGTATAGTAACTCCTGTACTCCTCAAAACAGCCTTCTTACTTTAATTATCATTATTCCTGTTTCATAGATGAGGAAACAGAAACTCAGAGAGGTTAAGTAACTTGCCCAAGGTTATACAGCTAGCAAGAGGCAGGACTAGTACTCAAACCCAGGCACTCGGGCAGCAAAATCTTTGCTCCTAACTTCTCAGGGCTCCCTTAGAACTTAAACACTGAAAGTGAGAGAACTGAGCCGGGAATGAAATACAAGTCATGCACTGGCTATATCTAGGACCAACCCTCACTCATGGCTCTGTGATGACCAGCCAGCCCTGTGACTGCCCCAGGCCTCAGTTGCCTCACCTGTGCATTGAGGAGACTGAATTAGATAAGCTCTACCTAAGATGTCTCCAATTCTAAAATGTCACAAGTCTATGCTGACAATCAGCAGTATATGGACTGGTCTGCCTTCTGACTGGCTATTCAAAGGTTAATTCATCCTACAGTAGGCAGCGAGTTGTGTCGAGATTCTCTGCCTTCTGACCTTCAGAAGATTATTATGTCCTCTGTATTCGGGCAAATGACAGAAAGTAGTGAAAGGGGGAAATAGATGGCTTCTCATCCGGATTCTGCTTGATGTGGGTGTAGTGAAATGGCCCTCGAAAAGCTTTGGGCGCAGATCACTTTGACTCTGCCAAACCTGCAGTGTCTCCAGCTCCCTCTTCTGAGCCTGCTCTTGGAACCTGCCTTTGGATTGCAGGTGAAGCTGACAAACTGGAGATGGAGCAATGAATATGGAGGAATTGGGAAGATGAAGAGAGGCAATCCATGATAGTTCAAATTAAGGAGTTTCATAGTGGCTAAGTAAACAGCTGTCTTTTGGTATAATCCATTCTGTTTGCTAACACCCACTCTTGAAAGTTAAAACCCAAAATTCATTATGGGTGAATTCAACACCCACTTCCAACCTAATGGACCTCCAGAAGTATCCTTCTCAAACTAGGCATTAAAGGTCGCCCAGAGAGCAATCTGTGGGTGGAGAACGGCTTCACAGATGGGTCATGCAGTCCTCCCTTGGGAGTCCTTTCTCAGCATCCCTGACAGGTGGCTGTCGTCCGGCCTCTGCCTAGACACTTCCAAGGTCGAGGGGGCTGGCTGCCTTGTTTGGCAGACATCCTCCTGCGCTGCTGGACAGCTCTTGCCGTGGCGAAAACCCACGAAGCGCCTAGAACAGTGCCCTGTGCGGGGCCGAGCTCAGTAAGTGTGCTTCTAAGTGGGTCAAAAGCTGCCTCCCAAGAACTTTAACACGTCAGTCCTGGGTGCGCGCCTGTGGAACCCCGAAACGCAGAGGCCCCTCGGGTATCCGGGGCAGTAATCAGGCCCCTCGGCCCTCTCCTTCCAGGTGCAGATCCTGGACCTTCGTTACCAAGCCTGGACAAGCAGACCCCTCCCCAAGAGGCCCCAATAATGTGCACCAAAGCGGGGATGGCAGCCAGAGAGGCCGCGCTCGGGGTTATCCCCAACCTCGGTTTCTCGGGCAGAAGAAGACAAAGGGCCTTCAAGAAGGCGTAGGGCCCCCCACGGTCAGGGCTGCCCAGCCACTGAGCGAGCCGGCCCTCAAGACGCTCGCGGCGCCGGGTGACAGGTCCCCGAGGATCCCCGAGGATACGAGACGCGCAGGCTGCGGCGCGATGGGCCAAGACACTCCGGGGACCGCGGGGTTCAGGGGTTTGACCCGACGGATTGGGGGCGCGATCCCGGCTCTGCGGAACTCACTCAGTCTGGTTTACCTGTGCCTGGTTGCCTACAGCGGCCCAGCTCGCCCCGAGTCCGGTTCCCGAAGCTCCGCGGCTGCCGGCGGCGCTCATGGAAATACAGCCGGAACCTCTGGCCAGTGCAGCTCCCGCCGCTACCGGCCCCGCCCAAGCAACCGCCGCCACGCCCCTGACGACCGCTTCTGCCACGCCCCTAACCACGGGAACCCGCCTGTTCATTGGGCAGCCCAGCCGCTACTCTACTCTCCCCGAGGGCTCATTGCACCCGGGGGCAGCCCATTGGTCAGCGGAGCTGCTCCTCAAAATAGAGGCGGGACCCTTAGCGGAGAGTTCCTCAACAATTGGTTACTTTTGACATCTTTAGCCTGTGGACCAAGAGGTTATTGGATAAGGCCAGCCCGGAGGGCGGGGGCAAAAGGGAGGAGGGCTTGAAGATGAGTAGTGTTTGACGTTGATGGGGGTGGGGTGAAGAGAGAGGGGCAATTGTGACCGCAGGCTGGTTTGGGGGGCTGGGAGGAGGGAGGTCGGCTGATAGCTCAGATGCGGGGTTGTGGTGGGTCCAGGCTGACTAGCTGACTTCACCTGTAACCTCGGACGCAGGGGATGAAATCTGGGGTCTTGCCCTGGGAGAGAGGGTAGTGAGTCACTGAGCCGAGCCGGAAGGAGATGAAAGGATGTGGAGGCAGCGGCCTCTGGCCCTTTCCAGGTAGGAAAAGGGGACAGGGAAGTACTGGGCAGTATGGACCTCAGTGACTGTCCCACTGTCCTTTCAGCCCTTACCCAACTCCCACCCAGTTGTAGGCAGACTGAAAGAATGTAGCCTTTGGAGTCAGACCTAAAATTGAAGCGTGTGTTTGCTGTGTGGGCTTAGGCAAGTCACTTAACCTTTATGCATGCACCGGGTTTTCTTCCTTTAACAAGTGGGGCTAACAATAGTGGTTGATGAAGAGATTAAATAACTCTAGTAAACACTAGCTGTGCCTAGCACTCAATAGGCATTCAGTCAAGACTGATTCTTCACCCGCACACCCCATCCGTTCATGGAACTGGGCCCAGTTCTAAAATTCTATGAGCCTTTTGCAGTGGCGTGTGCTTTACCAAGAATAGAACACTTGAGTGACTTGAAATGCAACCACTGTAGGGCAGACAGGGTCACCTACCAAGGCACAGAAGGACTGGAAGAGAGGGAGCATGGGATGAAATGGAGGGAGCAGGATAGCCAGAGAAGGGAAGTGGTATTTGTAGCAATGTTAAATGTTTTCTAATGTCTTTTTAGATTGTGGCAAGGAAAAATGGGCTGGCTCAAGTTTCATGGAGCGTGGCCAACAACATCCTTTGAAGGCTGATGAGTGCTCAACCAGAAATCATTGCATGAAATGTATCTGTCAGAGACTCCTGAAGCCCATTCCCCATTCTGATGGTGTGGACATCCCAGAGTATGGACATCCCAGAGTATGGACAGAAGTAGGATTTCAGGCCTGAATTTAGACCCAGGCCCTTTTTGTCTGCCTTTGAAAGAACCCACACGCATAGTACATCAGAGTGAAGGAGTGAAAGAGAGTAAGGCTAGGCCTGTGAACCAAACTGACTCCATTTTCCCTGCAGAGGACACTTTTGTTACCTTTCCACTCCTCAGTCAGGAGACCCCTTAGGGCAAATGATTACCCCATGGGCTGCCCAGACAAAACAGACTGAGATAAGAGAGGAAACAGAAATTTACTGAGTTGCAAACCCCCTCCCCAAGGTTTGTTTTACTATAATTGTAAAAGTTACAGATTAACCTTAAGACTCCTTTAGGAATTCCCACCTGTGCACAAAGCATCAATGACCCTCCAGGGGTGACAATGATGAACACCACTGCCTACTGGGCATGTGACCACGAGGCAACCAGGAAGAACAGAATGGACCACCTCCAGTGATGCTGACCTGCCACCCCTTAACTCCTTTCCCTATAAAAGACTCTGAACAGCTCCCCTCGGGGGGCTAGCCTTACTGTTGCTACCCCCCTTATGCATAAGTCCATCTCCTCTTTTAATAAAGCGTTGCTTGCTTTACTGTTGGGTACATTGTCCATTTCTATGACTTTGGAATCCGAGAGCCTAATTTAATCACTGATAAAAATTGGAAAGCTTTGGGCACTGGAGAGGACTCCAGCTGCAAGAGGCAAGTGGCCACTGGGACTATTTTGCTCCCATGTCTCTGCTGCTGGTAGATCTCTCCTGAAGTCCCCGGCCTAAATTCTGACAAGGCAATCCTTTATTCTCTTTACTTTTCTCTGATTTTCTGAGCCCTCTTCTGTTTGGTTGGATTGTATCCACGTCTGTATGGGTGCACCCTGGAGGGCTCCTGGCTATGCTTTGTTTTTCTGATTTAAATCTAGTCGATACTTTTCTTCTTTATGCTGAGAACAGTGGGGAGAACTGCTTTTATCAATTACTGTTAATGGGATAGATTGGCCCCACTGATTAGGACTAGGCTACACTGGACCCCACCACTCCCCTTTTCTCTTTGTTTGCTTGGTTAGACATTTAGTTGAGTACGGGTAATCTGAATAAACCTTCCAATCCTTGCATCAACTTTTGGACTTTCAGGTCATTTGTTTAAGGCGAGAGGGCAAGCCGTGTCTGACCTGTCGGTAACAGGAGGAGAAAGGTTCCTTTGCCTTTCCTGTATTTTTCATTTTGTTATTAGGTTACCTAAAAAAAAGTTTCTTATCAGCATTTATGTATTCCTCCATATTCTCTTTCATCTTCAGAAAGAAAACCCAGGCTTCAGTAGCAAAGGATTTTAGTGAAGAACCCCAATAATCCTGACTCTTTGTGTTAAAACAGGTTGGGCTTCCAGAAAGGAGCTTTAGATTTTTTGCCAGATAAAAGTATGTGAGGTAATGCATATGTTAAATAGCTTGATTTGACTATTCCACTATTATATATGTATCAGAACATCATGTTGTACACCATAAATATATACAATTTTAATTTGTCAATTAAAAATTTAAAAATTAATAACTTAAAAACAGATTTGTCACCAGTTAGCCAGTGGCGGTGGGGAGGAAGGGTGAGTTCTTTTTTTGTTTTTGGCAGCTGGCTGGTACGAAAATCTGAACCCATGACCTTGGTGTTAAAAGGCTGTGCTCGAACCAACTGAGCTAATGTAACTGGCCAGCCCCACACTTGGTTCTGTTTCACAGTTTTTTTGGTTCTTGTCGTTAAATAGAGGTATTTGGTGGCCATACACATGGCACATGAATGCTAGGGAACCAAGTCCCGCCCAATACAGGTTTGCTCCTGCCTGTGTTTGCTAAGGGAGACTAAGATGTCCTGTTAGTCCCTGAAAAGCATGAAATGGCTCTTGAGATCCAGAATGATTTCTCCAGTTTGATTCAAAGCCACAAAAAGCAGCTGTTAGGAGTAGATTGCAGATGGGTTCACCATTGTGCAAATGGATTTTTTTCTCCTATCTCAGGAACATATGTTCAGCCAAGAGTTTCAGAAAAGGATGTCTGTCCAGTTGAGGAATTCTAAAACAAAACACAATGGTGTCAAGAGGCTCAAAAAGAAGTGTAGACTGAGCCCTGGCAAAGGAGGAAGAGTGAAAGGACATGTATATCCTCTTTGCATCTTGGCTGGCTTAAAGAATGATCCATTATTATTTTCCAGAACACAGAACTGTTTTCTGATTTGTCTGTGGTTTCTGTTTCTTCCTGTCTGCTTTGGCTCTTGCCATATTCTGCTTAATCATATTATTTCACTCTATAAAGCATTTCTGTGGGAGGCCATTTAGGAGACATAATGGATTTATTTTTGCCTTCAAGTTTAGTAGCTTGTCAGGATTGAGGATTTGGTGAGACTTGGCCTGGGAAAACCAGGTGTTGAGATGTGGCTGTAAAGTCAATTTCCAAAAACAAGAGAGTGCCTTGTTATAAAAAGAACAAAGGAGAGGGTGTGCACCCACTCACCTTCTGGGATACCTAAAGCTCCAGGACATTATGAGGGTGCTTCAAAAAATTCATAGGAGGTGTGAGAGGCCGGGCTGAGCCGGCTCGGGGTAGCGGGACTCTCGACGCTGGGTTGCTGCTCCTGGGCTGGTCATGAACGGGCCGGCGGATGGCGAAGTGGACTACAAAAAGAAATACCGGAATCTGAAGCGGAAGCTCAAGTTTCTCATCTACGAACACGAGTGTTTCCAGGAGGAGCTGAGGAAGGCGCTGAGGAAATTGCTGAAGGTGTCCCGGGACAAGAGTTTCCTCCTAGACCGGCTTCTGCAGTATGAGAACGTGGATGAAGACTCTTCTGACTCAGATGCCACAGCATCTTCAGATAACAGCGAGACAGAGGGGACACCCAAGTTGTCGGACACTCCGGCCCCCAAGAGGAAGAGAAGCCCTCAGCTAGGGGGTGCCCCCTCCCCCTCCAGCCTCTCCTTGCCTCCTTCAACAGGGTTTCCCCTTCAGGCCTCCGGGACCCCCTCCCCATACCTGAGCTCGCTGGCTTCCCCCCTTACCCCCCATTCCCTTCTGACTACCTGGCCCTGCAGCTGCCCGAGCCCAGCCCCCTGAGGCCCAAGCGGGAGAAGCGGCCCCGCCTGCCCCGGAAACTCAAGAGAGATCACTCTGGCTGCAGTGTGGAGGAGGAGCTGGATCTGGGAGAGGCTGAAGGCAGGGAGTCCAGTTAGGAGGCTGGTACCATAGCACAGATGGCGGTGGGACCCCCCGACTGCCCTGTGGGAGGGCCGCTGACCTTCCCTGGCCGGGGTTCTGGGGCTGGGGTCGGGGCAGCTCTGACCCCCTTGCCACCTCCCAAGATGCCCCCCCACACGATCCTGAGCACCGTCCCTCAGCAGATGTTCAGCGATGCAGGCAGCGGGGATGATGCCCTGGACGGGGATGATGACCTGGTGATCGATATCCCGGAGTGAAAGCCCACTGCTGTCTGCGACCCTGCCCAGCGCCCCTCCCCATGCCACACACGTGAGCCCCAGCTTCCTCAGAGATGTTTATTGACGCCCAGTTACCATGCTTTGGCCACTGAGACAATCAGAAAAGGCGTAAACATGCACAAATGTCCCCAGGAAGGTGGCAGGGGCCGGCCGTCACATCCTGGTCCCATCCAGGGGACAGTTATTTAAATGAGTGGCCAGGAGTATCTGCCACCTCTTGGGGAG